GGAGGAGGAGGATGAGAAGAAGAAGAAGAAGAAGGAGGAGAAGAAGAAGAAGAAGAAGAAGAAGAAGAAGAAGACGAAGCAGCTTCGGTTGTATATATAGCAAAATTGGAATTCAAATGGCGGAAGAAGAATAAAGAAAAATAAACTGCAAGAAGACTAAAAAAACAAACAAATAGCATGAAAGGGAAAAAAGGAAGAAAGAAAAAAGAAAGAAAGAAAAAAAGAAACTGATAAAGAAAGTTAATAGAGCTTCAATGTTAAATAAAGAAGGACAAAAACATTATTGGAGTGGTATTCGAGTTGTCTGGGAGAAGAAGAAAAAGAAGAAGAAAAAGAAGAAGATAACAAATTTAGTGAGGGAAAATAATGTAGTGTTTTAATGTACAACAAAAAGAACAAGACCAAAAAGAAGGGGGATATTAGTGATGCGGTCTGCATAGAAAGTACCTAGGGTGGTTCTGTCACAAATCGTTTCTTGGCTGCTTGGGTTCTTTGCTGCAATTCTGCTGCTAATGTCCAAGGTTTGCGGGCGTAGAGAAAGATTGAGAAGAGCAATGCATGCAACATGTCTGATCTTTGATTCTAGGCTGATGTTCTTGTCCTTCTCTGAGGTTCTTTGTTTTGTGAGATCTACAATGGTTTATACTGTTCTTGAATATATTTCTGTTCCCCATAATTGATAATTGAGCGAAGATATTTGAAATAACTCTCTACTTTAAGTTCCGACTTTTATTTTACCCGAAAGCCTCTTCCATTGTTCGTATAGAGATTGGTCTTCAGGCATTAATCTCAATGGTGTATCTGGAGGGTTTTTCATCCAGGTTTGTCACCAGACTGTCAATTTCCTTTTCTTTTTCAGTTAGCTTATCTATGTCGGCTGCAAAGCGGAACTTTGTCGTGTTACGTTCAAGGAAGATAGAAAAAGGGAGCTTTTTTTCTGTTATACTGCTGTCTAATATCTCGTAGAATATCTAACCATATGATCTTGATTTTTTAATATCTCTTTTAATCATTTCATCCCAAGTAAGGCAATAAAGCCACTAAGACGCAATGATTTTTTGAGTTTTAGAGAACATGAAAAAAAAAAAAAAACCCAAAGCAAACTAATATTAAGCAGAGAGGACAATAAAAGAACGAGAATTAAGAAGACAGCAGATAATGATTGACATTGAATTTAAATGTTTCAAGTTCAAATTTGGCAAGAAACCGGAACAAAGTTTCACAAGCGAGAAATGCGATCGAAGAAAATGTTAGCATAGAACTTACGGTTACATCTAGCTATTTCAGTATCTGTCTGTATTTCTGAGATAAGGTATTTTAATTATTTACCATAATTACATTGTTCGGTCTGCTGTCCTCATCTTTGTTGCCATATTGGCGACGTTTTTCCGGTCTTCTTCAGGTGACTGGAATTTCGTTGGTTGGATTCTGTGACTTCACCCAAAGTGTTGTAAAAAAACTTGGAGAGTTGAGTTAAAAGGAGATAACTGAGACATCCGGAAGAGGCATGGCACTTGGAACTAGAACAATCTATCCCGGTGGACGAAATTTCAAACAAGCTATAAATTGATGAGACCTTGATACCAATCTAATACATAAAGTCTGTATACCGTAGATAAAAGTTCTTGGAAGTATTTATAGAACATTGCGGCGGTGGGAATGTGGCTGAAGCCGAGATTTCATGGCAGGACTAATAATATTGCAGATTCTTGTTTGGATTTTATCAAGAATCTCTAAATATATAGGAGGAACACCAGACCAGATGTGGCAGCAATATTCAAAGCTTGGATGAAGGGTAGACTTATAAATATGCAAGATAGATTTGGGCGAGAAAAATGTCTGACACTACACAGTAAATTGTTTTTCCAAGGAACTGATCTATCAATTGATTCAATATAAGCTTTCCATTTTATATCAACGGAAAACGTTATCATGGGAAAGCGCAATGTATCACTCTCCTTGGGGTTAGCATCAGCCATACTGATGAAAGGCAAAAAAAATTCTCTCAGGTCATTAAAGGAGAGTAGTTTGGAGGCGTTAGAATTAACAAGCCATTTCTTGCCCCATTTAACAACAGATTGTCGATCATTTTTGAGATCAGCTGCTGATTTGGCATTATTGAACCGATCAGATTTAATATTAATAATTGTGTCATTACCATAGAGAACTGATGATATCAACAATGTCGTCGATGAAAGTCATATATATATATATATATATATATATATATATGAAGCGCTAATTTGTGGAACAAACTCCTGAGTGGTTGCTTCCCAAACCACTACAATTTTTACCCTCTTCAAGCCTACGGTCAACTATCTTTGCTGTATATCCTCATAATCTGCCCTTCTTACGTACTCATCTTACGTTCATACGCTCAGCAAGTCTCTAGGATGAGTGTCTCTTCGGCCTTTTATTGCGTAAAAAATTAGTGACAGAAATAATAAAAAATTATACTAATATTGCTACTAGGAATAGCTTGATTAACTGCGATGAAAAGCAAGTGAAATTAAGATCTGAGAAATACAAATCAAAATTTAGTAATTGCCTACAGCTAATATGCTTACGACCATAACTGAAATTGTTTACCGAGCTCTTCAAAATAACGGAGAAGCTTGTGCCATGGCCCTAGATATCTCCAAAGCGTTTGATAGGGTTTGGCATGCCGGCCTTCTTCGCAAGTTTCAGGGTTATGGAATTACAGGTCGATTGTTTGACTTAATACAATCATTCCTGTCACACCTTGTATTGAAGATCGTTCTCAACGGATTCTCCTCCAGCTCCTATCCCACGAACGCAGGTGTTCCCCAAGGCTCCATCCTGGGTCCTACTCTGTTCCTTATCTTCATCAACGATCTTCCTGACGTCATAGATTCCCAAGTAGGCATCTACGCGGACGACACTACAATTTACTCCTGCCAAATCTAGTGTCGCTGACAAAACTAACCTGGCCGTTTGTCTCGAAAAGGACCTCCAATCGGTTGTGAACTGGGGCAGGTATTGGCTGCTTAACTTTAACGCCTCAAAAACAAAACTGCTCTCTATTAATCACCAGAGAGAACCATCCCTGCCTTCCATTAGAATGTCTGACGCTCAACTCCACGAGAGCACCTCTTTGCGACTGCTCGGTCTCACATTGACTGCTGACCTGAGATGGAACAAATACATTGAGTCAATAGCTTCGTCCACCGCAAGGAAAGTTGGCTCCCTGTGCCGCGCCAGGAAATTTTTCTCGCCGGAGTCGATCCTTCAAATCTACAAATCAACCATTCACCCTTGCATGGTGTATTGCTGCCATATATTGTCTGGAACTCCTTCTGTTTGTCACAAGGTTCTTGATAAAATCCAGAGACGGGTATGCAATGTAATTGGCCCTGATCTGGCATCTTGTCTACAATCGCTCTCTCACAAACGTGACGTCGCCTCCCTCTGTCTTTTTTACAAATACTTTCATGGTAACTGCTCCGATGAGCTGCTTTCGCTGGTTCCCAGACTTCATGAATTTAAGCGTTCAACTAGGCTGTCATCTCGCTCTCACCCTTTCAGTGTCGAAACTGTTAAATGTAGCCGTCTCTTCTACTTCAATAGATTCATGTCTCGCACTTCTCGCCTGTGGAACTCCCTCCCTTTTTCTTGTTTCCCTGATAGCTATAATTTCCAACTATTCAATGTAATGTCAATCGACGTCTCCAGATGCCTTGATCTATCCCCTATCCTTCTCTTCATCATTATCTCTATCACTCCTCTTTGCTCTCGCTCTAACTCTCTGTAACCCCTTGCGTGCTTGTGGCTTTCCGCCTTGCTTTGGGTGAAACGTTTAAAAAATTGCTAAGAATTCTTCATCGAATAAAAAGTCAAAACAACATTTCTGTTAATACTACTACTACTTTTTCCATAAATATCAACTGAAATTCAAATGAAAGTAATACTAGTAAAAGATTAATTGTAGTCGACAATCCTTTATCTAATAATAAAAATTCAAGTACTAACACTGCTATGATGATCTTTAGTGAAAGGTAAATGAAATTATGTTATTAAAAATTAATAATGGTAGACTATGATCCTACTAATGAAAGTAAGAGTAAAAATAATATTACTATTTATGCTACCATGATTAGTTTCAATAAAACATTGTTGAAATTAAGATGAAAGTAACGTTTGTAAAAAATTAATGATGGTTAACCTTGTAATTATAGTTGATTTACTTTGATCAGCGTCAAAGAGTCAACACTGGCCTGAGAGACTAACTTAAGAAGGATTTTTCTTTTCTTTTTTTAGCCTAAAGAGACAATAAAGACTGTTTATTATCTCTTAAAACACACACTGAAAGCGAGTCAAGAGTTTTCTGGGTATGTTTGGATTAGGAACATTGACGAAAAGAGTCGTAGGAAAAATATTTCAGTCAAGAAAGGAGGAAAGGAAGAACTGAATAAAGAAACCAGAATAGAAATAGGAGCAAACGAATTAGGGAGGGGAGGAAGAGAGAGAGAGAGAGAGAGAGAGAGAGAGAGAGAGAGAGAGAAGAGAGAGAGAGAGAATAGCAAATGAAAACAGAAAATTAGAAACTATGGTGTCTGCTCAAATAGAAAGAGAAAAGAAAGTGAAAACAAGAAAAAGGCGGGAAAACAAGAAAAAGGCGGGAAAACTGGAAAATAAAAAAAAATGGCGTCAATTTCTCTTTTTTTTTCTCCTATAGAATAGAGTTAAACAGAGCAGAGCGATCGATTGAATAGTTTTGTTCTGATCGAATTGTGAATTTATTTTTGTCGCTACTCACATATTTGCTTCCGACCAACGAATTTTTTGGTTCCCTAAACAAAGGCGTTCTATTGTTTTTGGAAGATATTTCTTCATTCTTTTCAGTATGCAGATTCGGTTCCAATATTTTTCCCACAATTCCTTTTAAGTTTGTTTAATTTTTTTTTTTTTATCTTTCATGTCTTTTCTACAAATTCATTCAGTTTTATTCGTTACTTCGTTTGCCTTTGTCCAACTTCTTTATGTTCTTCTCTTTTCTTTTGCTCTTTCTTTCTAAGTTTTCCCTTCTCCTTTCTTTCTTACAATTTGCCTCTTCGTCTTTTGCTTTTGTAGCTGTTCTCGTTTTCTTTCGTGATCTCGTGCTTGCTTTTTTTTCTTCTCATTATTGCGACTTAACCTTCTTTTTCTTTTTTTTTTGCATATCGCCTTTATTTCTCTGTTTCTTTCATTTGCACTTCACCATATTTGGACGTACGGTTAGTTTAATGGGTTGGGATTAGAAAATTATAATGAAAAACAGTAGAACTGAGATCGAATTAATACAGTAATATTAGCAGTTTCCTTATTAGGAAGCATTTGGCCTACATTGACCAAACAAGCATTCTACTTTCCGTTACAATTCATAAATTCTTTCTCTTGAAACAAATTTGCAGGAAAATAGTTTTCTCAGGTGATAATCACATATGGCGGTTTCCTTCTTAACCTTTTGTTCTAAGTAGTGTGGAAGGTCAACATTTGGATGTCATTATTTTTTCGTCATATTACATAAGCTTTCCATTTTAACTGTTGTTGAAAAGGGATAGTACTCGTAAAGGCCTGCAGGATGTTTAATAACAGCCGGTTTGTGTCTGTCGATATTCGTTTTGTATATATATATATATATATATATATATATATATATATATATATATATATTGTATATATTGAACAATAAAAAATATTAAAAAATTACATCTTCAGACACACTGGGTTGTAGATTAATATTCTTTCGTTTTTATTATTATTATTATTATTATTATTATTATTATTTCATTTAGATTCCTCGACTAGTTTCGGCCAACATGACCATCATCAGGAGAATAAATATTTCTGCTTGCTGGTAGCAGTGAACTACAGAAATGAATGTCTTGATGGAGAAAATGAACTTTTGTCTGTAGTTATATATATATATATATATATATATATATATATATATATATATAAGGCCCAAACACTAATATTCCATGGTTATAATTTATTACATTGGAATCGTAATCACGATCCAATTCATCAGACCTACAAATTCAAAAAGAAATTGCAAAATATAACTCCGAGTATAAAAAACAAAATTTTAGTAAGGGTGTATGTGTGGGAGTGGGAAACAAGTGTGAGAGGGAAATGTATGAAAGCTCTAGAGAGAGGGTGTAATAGAAGAAAGAAGAACAGGAAAGGCCTAAAGGTGAAGCTGGGGATTCAAATTTAAGAGATAAAGTTTTGAAGAATGGTGATAAATAACGGTTTAAATGAGTGAGATACAGATAAATATGAATTATTTTCCGATGCATAATTCACTACCGATTCGCTGTGGATACATTTGGGGTGACATTATGCACAATACACTCTCACTAAAATTTTTTTTTTTTTTTTATACCCGGAGTTATATTTTGCAATTTCTTTTTGAATTGGTAAGTCTGATGAATTAGATCGTGATTACGATTCCAATGTAATAAATTATAACCATGGAATATTAGTGTTCCTGTCTGGCGAGGGAAGTCTTACTCTTCACTCTGCACAGATCCAACATTGCAAGCCCATCGCTATTTCCATGGCAAATGTTCAGATAAGCTCCATTCTTTAGACTCCCCCGACACCACCATTTCAGACCATTCCAACTCCGACATTTACACAGTCTTCTGAGGGAAGGCTTATTCGTTACTTTTTAATTTATTTCCCACATACTAAACATTGCAATCCCATCACTCCTCTATCGCTATTTCCATGGCAAATGTTCAGATGAGCTACATTCTTTAGTCGCCCCCCCCCACCACCACTTCAGACCATTCCAACCCGGACATTTACACAGTCCTCTGAGGGTAGGCTTATTCTCTACTTTGTAACTTATTTCCCACATTGCAATCCCATCACTCCTCTATCGCTATTTCCATGGCAAATGTTCAAATTAGCCCCATTCTTTATTTCCACCAGTTCAGACCTTTACAGCTCGGTCATGTACACAGTCCTGTGAGGAAAGGCTTATTCTCCACTCTGCAGCTTCTTCCCCACAGACTCAACATTGCAAGCCCATCACTAATGTATCGCTATTTCCATGGCAAATGTTCAGTTGGGTTACATTACTTAGGTCCACCAATTCTGGCTTTTACAGCAACGACACGATAGTGCTACTTACATGGAGTTGACTCACTATCATTTCTTCCATATTCCAATGGTAAGGAGCAAGTTCCATTTGAAGAGTTATTTTTCTTTCTCCAGGACTGTCATTTTCTGGAAAAGATTGTCACGATAAAATCAATCACTGTCAATATTCCTTAAACACATTTTCATTTCTTCTCGCACACCGAATTTAGTAAACCTCTACCTTGAGCGTCTCTCGAGCCTCTTGTTGAGTGAACTTTGACAGGTAAATGGTTCTGAGCACAATGGATATTTAATCTTTGATTATCAGTTTTTAACGCCATTTAATATAATCGGGGACGGAGGTACCGGTTCTAAAATGCTGGCATTGTTCTTTTAAAACAACGTTCGTCAAAATACAAATCACTATAAGCCTCGATTTGATGATCACATAAATGAATAACGATTGCGTTCCGACGCCGCTAACACTGCCTCCTTCAAGAAACGGCAGTTTTCAAAGAGGAAGTCTCCACTTCTTCATACTTAATCGATTCACTTCCTTCCATTAGCCAGCGTGATTTATTATAACATGAGTCTTGTGCCTGTTTTTCGATAATATGAGGCCAAGGCTTTTGAGATGTTACACAGCGGTTTTCAAGGCTAAACGGTTGCATTCTTTAACCGAAAATATTGCCCAGGAAACGAAAAGGAAAGTCTTTTACTAAAATGAGTTGAGTAGTTATTTTTCCTTAATGGTAGCGATCCCCAAAACCTGTACGGGTGCTCATCAATATACGAAAAAAACCTGTCTGTAAAATTCAAATTTGGAAAGCGCAACGTTTTGGATTTTCACCTTCTACGAAATAATTAACATGACAGTAGCTGCTTAGAGTCTGCCTGTAAACAGAACGCCGTTGTGAATGTTCCTGTGATTTTACAGCCATTGAAATTTAAATTATTGTACAAATGGGGGTGCTAAGAAAGACAGAATAACCATCTTAGTTATCACCGCTCTCCAATACCCGCATTAATCATTAGTATATCCTTGATATAACAAGGATCAAAATAGATTGAAAAAAAAGAATATTAAATATGCATTGTATTCAAAAATATTTTTTATCAATTCAACCGAAGCAAGGATAAAATGCCACTAAGACGCAAGGGGCTACTGGAAGTAAAAGAGAAGGAAAACATTTTGGAAGGAACCGGAAACCCAATCCAAAAGAGGGGAGGAGTTTGAAACAGGCAAACCTATCTACTCCTTTTAAATATATAGTGTTGGTTCTTTCACTTTATCACAATCGGGGCCGTATGGCAGCGCATTGCAAAATACGATCTGCGGGGCAAATCAGGCTTGTATTCTTATATGCCGTATCCTTTAAGGACGGGGGCGATCACCACTCTCCATATTCCGTCCTCACACTCCGCAATATTATATATGTTGGGCTTCCGTACTTGCAGTGGATTTTGTATCTCGATGTACGTACGACAGAACTCTAAACTGTATTATAATTAAACTTACGAAAATATGTCAAATGTTCTTTCTCGGATGGACGTCAATGGATAGTAAGTCTCTAGCTATCCTAGTCGTCGCCTTCTTCTTCTTCATGTTCTTTCTTTCTTTCTTTCTTTCTTTCATTTTTCTCTTTTGTTCTTTTCTTTCCTTCCTTCCTTCCCTCCCGTTACTTCCTTCCTTCTATCATTCCTTCCTTCTTTCCTTCCTTCCTTCCTTATAAGACTCCAGCTATCCAAGTCTTCTTCTTTCTTTCTTTCTTTCTTTCTTTCTTTCTTTCTTTCTTTCTTTCTTTCTTTCTTGTTCTTTTCCTTCCTTCCTTCCTTCCTTCCTTCATTTTCTGTTACAAGCATTTTTTGTTTTTAATTCTATTTTTCATTTTTCTCTCTCGTTCTTTTCATTCCTTTCTTTATCTCTCCCTCTCTCCCCAACTTCTTTCCATCCTTTATTCCTTCCGTTATTTCTCTCAACTGTTCTGTTCCTTCCTCCCTCTCTCCCGTTCTTTTCCTTCCTTCCTTCCTTCCTTCCTTCCTTCCTTCCGTTCTTTTCCTTCCTTCCTTCCTTCCTTCCTTCCTTCCTTCCTTCCTTCCTTCCTTTTCCTTCCTTCCTAGTAAGACCCCAGCTATCCCAATCGTCATCATCTTTCTTTCTTTCATTCATTTTTCTCTTTTGTTCCTTCCTTCCTTCCTAGTAAGACCCCAGCTATCCCAGTCTTCTTCTTCTTCTTCTTCTTCTTCTTCTTCTTCTTCTTTTTCTTCTTCTATTTGATGTGTCCCTTCAGAATGTGAACGATTCTGTCTGTTAGCAACTTGCTCTCCTTCCTAACTCTTAGTGATGTTTGTCTTTTCATTATCGCTTTCATTCCTTGTTCTGGCAACCATTTAAACAATATTGCCTTCAATATGTCTTGTGAGTGTCAAATTTTTCAAACCTTCTTTTCAGTAGACAAGATCAGATCTCTAGTAAATTCTATAATTATAGTCTGAAACTTACGTGCTTTGTATCTTCCGGGTGTGACTGATGTTCTGACATTAGACTAGTTAATATTCATTAGTGTCAATATTATTTCTTTCCCTGGATCCCGTACACCGCACCACTAGGTTTGAAATTATTATGCAAATTCCCGACGGTTCAAAGAGTTGGTGCAGTTTGCGCAATCCAAAGGGAAAAATAATACTGACATGGGGTGTATGACTAAAGACAAAACTCTAGTAATATACTAATTTCTCATAGTTTTTAAAATGTGATCATATATATATATATATATATATATATATATATATATATATATATATGAAGAAAATATACTGACAAAAACAAACAAAAAAATCCTAATATGTGATTATGCTGTTTTAATGTTTAATGTCAACGTCGGACGTTTCGGTCTAATAGATCATCTTCAGGACATATTCATAAAACATAATTAACATAGACCATATACAATTCAACATGAAAAAGACGATGGATATAAAAGCAATACCAATCCAAACAGATAACTGAAATCTTTTATAACGACGACGTGATCATACTGATCTTATAAAAGATTTCTGTTATCTGTTTGTATATATATTTATACATTGATACATTGATAATATTAGTGGTCCAGTATATATATATATATTATCAATATATACATACATACATATATATATATATATATATATATATATATATATATATATATATTGATAATATTAGTGGTCAATATATATATTGACCACTAATATCATATATATATATATATATATATATATATATATATATATATATGGATATATATATATATATATATATATATATATATATATATATATAATACATTGATAATATTAGTGGTCAATATATATGTATACGTATATATATATATATACATTGATAATATTAGTGGTCAATATATATATATATATATATATATATATATATAAATATATATATATATATATATATATGCAATGTTTGTTCCTGTGATATAATATAATCTGAGACAAAAATGACAATGATGAAACAAAGCTGAAAATTTTATTGAAACCACGTTTCGAGGGTGACGCGTATTCTGGCTTTCGCATTTGGACACTATTGAGCTTTTGCCCACATATGACAGCAGTACTCCTTTTTAAGGCCTTATCTGGCAACTGTAAATTTGAGCTCAACGAAAATCGTTCCATGCGCCTAACTTTTCTAGCGTTTTCGAATGACCTACGAATCATTGAAATCAAACCAGTGGGAGCGGAGGTGTTGCTTGGACATACACACGCACAAACACACATACATACACTGCACACTATATATAACATAATTACCAGTAAACCTTGGCACTAAAGAAATTCCATCATCGTCGATCGCACCCTGAACTACTAAGATGAATGGATGCTCCCTCAAGGAGTCTCTCCGCCTTGAGCAACTACTGGGCCTTAAACTCAACCCCAGAACTCAAGTGTAACTTATACATAAGATCCATCGCTAAAGACCCAGGAGAAAAGTTGAATTCCCAAAACAGAATATCAGGTACAAACACCTTGGCAGTCCCCGTGGTGCAATACAGATTCAAACTCCTTAACTGGACCATAACTGACATTAAGCGAATGCACGCTAAAATGAGAAAGCTTGACACCTCATGCATCATCCCAAGTCTGATATTGATCGTCTTTATATGTCCAGATCCGAAGGAGGTAGAGGATTAGTTCAACTAGAACTGTCTTACAAAACTACAACAATCGGCCTTCAAAGATACCTGTACCGCTCCAGTCAGTACCTGACTCATCGTGTCATTCTGTGACTTTAGTAAAGTTAGAGGATGACAAAAGGATTCAGGTACTCACTGTATTAATTTTATATCTTATAAATTGTCCCCTGTTCTGTCACCCATATAATCAAAGTAATTGTTTGTACGGAAAATAAGGATCTACGTACATCAAATCGTCTTTGAATTAAGTGGCAGAAGAATTGTCGTTGAACTTTTAAAAGGTAATTAAATATTAATTCAATACTTAAATGCAGCAATTCATTTTGAGTTCTGTAGTTTATTGATGCCTATCGCATCTACTCCTCTCCTATCGATGATAGCTAAACAAAGAGTCCTCCACAGGAGCTAGCTTAAATGCCGCCCTATCGGGGGGCTTTTAAGCTAGTTTTACTATGAATATACATTGATAATGTTTTTTCTATAAACATGTTTTGCTAATTATCCTGCTATAATTATCTATTGCTAATGATGTATTGCTAATAATGTTACTATGCGTTGCTAATGACTTGTATATATGCGTTGCTAACTATTTTACAATATGGTAATTGATTGATTTGTTTTGTTTTACGGCATATCAACACCTCAGTGGGTTATTTAATGTCGACAAGATTTTTTATTGCTAGTAATATTTTTTGCCAAAAATGTATTGCTGGTAATATCTTTTCTTTTCCAAAAATGTATTGCTGGTAATATCTTTTCTTTTCCAAAAATGCATTGCTGGTATTAAAGCATTTTTTAAAAAAACTTTCGTAGTGTTTTGACCCATTTTGGGAGGTGGGGTTAAGTATTTGTCCATAGGGACCCTGACAGGTGGCACTACCCAAGGTCAAGGTGGGCCTGTGAACACCAGCAATTAAGAGGTAGTTCCAAGCTCCTCAAAACCTCCTGATCAAAGGTCTTGCTGTCGGATGTAGTTTATCGTCATACCCAGGACAGTTATTGGTAATGATTATGCTATGAATGTACATTGCTAATCATACTGACCAAAATATTTCTAATTATTTTGATACATATTTTAATATAATTATAGATTGTAAATTATGTTACTATAAGTATGCTTTTATTATATAGATCTATTGTTAGTAATTTGACTGCATGTATGCATATGCAATGATTTTAAAATAAGCATTGTTTCAGATTTTACTACAAAAGTTGATTGGTAATGATATTCATTTAAATATGCTTTACTAATAGTTTTTTTTATAAAGATGTAATGCTAATGAGTATAATATATGCATTGCTAGACATTTTTCTCCAACTAGGCTTACGGCCACATCACATTGATACAATTAAATATTCCACATTGTGATCGTAAAAGATCTGTCAAGAAAGGTGAAATGTAATAAGTACCTGGGCGTAAATTTACTGTGGATGATCTAGCAATTAAAGCACTTTCTATACATTTTTGTCGTTGTAAATTGCTTTCTCTTTTAATGAGAATAGCATTTTTTAAATCGAAATTATGATCGGTGAGCAAATAATGCATTGATTGAGTTGTTTTGTAAAATATTTCTTTTTTGTTTATATAATCTTTTATTTAAATTTCTCGAGGTTTCTCCTATGCATTCCTTGTGGCAATTATTACAGGTAATAGAGTAAATTATTCTTTTAGGTTTTACATTATTATTTTTTTTAGTATTATTTAAGTCTCTTATTATTTTTATCCTGGGTTCAGATAATTTGCCATTTCAATGATGATAGAGATGGTGGATAGAAAAAATGAGATAAAGCATGGTAAAACAACGTTGTCAGTACGTACATGGGTGACCGCTTGGGAATAGTTGGTGCTTTAAATTTTCTGGCTTTAAATAACTTGCAAAGGGTTGATAAACCGTAAAAACTGAATGAATGAATCACTCATTTATTACTATTGATTTTACTATAAATATACATTTCTAATAATCGGAATATCTTACTGATAATTATCTTACTATAAATATACGTTTTTAATGCTCTTGCTATAAATAAGTATCGCTAATGATTTTCATAAATGAATTGCTCAGTAGCTACTTTAAAGGTTTATTGTTAACAGCTTACAGGTGAATGTCTCGTTGCGCCTCCTCGGGAGTAAAAATTATCGGGTGACGTGAAGTGCAAATGATATCTTGAATCCATTGTTACGTAAGCTGCTAAGAAATTTGGTTCCCTGTGTCGTGCAAGACAATTTTACTCTTCAGAATCTTTGTTACATATCTATAAGTCTACCATCCTTCCATGCTTAGAATTTTGCTACCACATATGGTTTGGTGCCGCTGCTATTTAATTTGAGCCCCTTGATAAATTCCAAAGAAGAATCAGCAATATTATTGCTCCTAACCTGGCCTCTCGGCTTCAGTCACTTTCCCACGACCATAAAGTTGCCTCGTTGTGCCTTTCCGATAAATATTTTTTTATGGTAACTGCTCGAATGAGCTTTTCTGTTGTACATCCTTGAGTAAATTAATTGAAACAATCGCTTTCATCATACGGCCAGTTTTAGACCCACTGGAGTAACAGGGTGTAATCGATTTCTATTTTTCCTCAGATCATTTGCAGTGGTGTGCAGTAATATGAATATATTTCCGGGGTGTATGATGTATTATTTGGTCTTGAAAAATATTACGCCATCCGTGATCGCATCAGATATTTATCACGCCCAAACTCTATTGTCTCGACTGTCGATTAGTTGTCCTGTGATGTCTGTGATGTACATTACTTCAAGGAAGCGTACAAAAACTGTAACGCTGCACGAGCACACTGGAAAGCCTTACCAGTGAACAAATCAAAGTACTATATATTGGCCGGGAACTCTCCTTATTTAAATCCAATCGAGAATCCTTGGTCAATCTACAAGGAACGATTTCGTGGAATAGCCATACGAAATACTAACATGGGCGCTGGGTCATGTTTCATTGGGAAAATACGATAAAAAAGTAAGTAATAACAGAATTATTTGTTTTGTTTCAGTTAATTTGCACAAGGGTGTACATTGTTATTGAAATTTGTTGCATCAGATCTTACAGATAGGAGCTACACCACTCGAAAACTTCCAACGACAGTAACATCTAAAATGGATAGCATGTGTAATTAGAAGAGGAATTAATAACACTGGGTGCGGAAGAAATACATCTTAGGTACGCGAAAAACCCCAAGGTAACTGCTATTAAAAAAATTATTTCATTATTATTCAAAGAAAGGGCTACACTTTTATCATTTTGTTTGTTTTGGTCTTTATTTTTTCCCCGTGCAATGTTGTAGATGATTTCTAAAGTGTTACCTTTACCCGGAGGTTCGAACGCCTCGAGGTCCTCCAGGTGTTTTTTTTTTTTTCAAGCTCTTAACCTGTAGCCCTGAAATTTGCAACCCATAGCAGTATCGATTTTCCCTCTGGTGCCGAATCATTTCGACGTAACATGAGATGAGCAAGAAAAGATCTCTCGTTGCATTTACAGACTCGCCGGTCTTTGAAAACGTTTCAACAGCAAACGCACGGTCTGCACCAGTCTAACCTATGATAGTAACTAATGGTATTTGAAAAGAAATTGTTAAATCCTTAACTACGTGAAGATACTATTGCCACTTGCTAATGTTCACTAACACAACACAGATTACAGTTTAAAATGTGGGAAGCATTTCTGGCACACACTGTATAACGACGATATGGCCTTTACACACCAAATTAAACAAAGTGTTAGTCGGGAAACTCCGAACAAATCAAGAAAGAGCGATGACATTGAACTTGAGATGATTTTTTTTATGTGTCGTGTCATTTCAGTAGACGATCATGGCTCTCCACTTCCTCCTATCCCTTGTAGCTCTCAATAAGTTTCGTCTCTCTGCCACATCCTCCAGGCCACGTTCTGTTATTCACTTGCTTAAACTCGCCACGTATGTCATACGTTGCTTTCCCTTCTCTCTTTTTTCCCTATATTCGACTTGTGAGTTTCAGATTCTCCAGGCCCTCATTTCTAATTACGTGTCCCAGAAATTATAGCTGCGTCATCCTTATTTTAACTATAAACCTCCTCCCTGTTTAGATCCTCAACGTTGTTCACTCGTTCGGTCCATCTGAAGAAAACAAAACAAAACAAAAAAACAAAACAAAACAAAAAACAATCTATCTATCTATCTATCTATCTATCTATATATATATATATATATATATATATATATATATCAATGTGTTCATAGTTATCTATCAGTCTATCTCAGTCTTTCAATATCTATATACCTACCTGTTTATTAATCTCAGGCTGTTCATAGTCCTCTATCTCTCTATGTATGGTTTTTCCATCATCTATCTATCTATCTATCTATCTATCTATCTATCTATATATATATATATATATATATATATATATATATATATATATATATATATATGTGTGTGTGTGTGTGTGTGTGTATGTGTGTCTGTTAATATCTATCCTACTATATATCTATCTCAGAGTGTTAATATCTATCTATCTATCTATCTATCTATATATCTATCTATATATATATATATATATATATATATATATATATGTTTGTGTGTGTGTGTGTGCGTGTGTCTGTTAATATCTATCCTACTATATATCTATCTCAGTGTGTTAATATCTATCTATCTATCTATCTATCTATCTAATTCTGTCAATATCTATCTATCTATCTATCTATCTATCTATCTATCTATCTATCTATCTATCTATCTATCTATGTATTGAATGTTTCCTGTAAGTTAATGTGTAATTTCCTCCATTACCATTACCAGTGATATAGCTAATATTCGCCAAATATCAAAAACCGTATCACTTGTAGACTTCCAAGAGACGCTACAAGTGAAATGGGTTGCACATGCACTCGTAGGGAAAAAAAACTGATATAATCTACATTTTGACGTTCTACACTAATTTATATAAAAAAACCAAAAAAAAAAAAAACTTGAAATGAATCTCCCATCAACATTTGAAATTAAGTTAACAGTGGATTTGGGAAGAAATTTCGCCCCCACAGTGACATTAACTGCTTGGCTAATGAATTCCGATATTTTCTGTATGAAAACGACTCCATAATCTCCATTACTTTAGATATGCAGATAGTAACATTGGTCAGGAATAAATGGCGAATCATTACTGATAGAAGAGGCATATTACATGACAAACAAATACTGATAGAATAGGTCCGTTATATGGTGAGCCATTACTGACAAAACGGCCCTTTTTATATGGCAAATCATTATTGATAGAACAGCCCTATCATATGGCGAATCATTACTAACAGGCAACGTCTATTATATAACAAATAATTACTGATAGAAGATGTCTATTATTTCAGTATATCCTTATTGATAGAAAAGGCATATATTGTTTTTTTTTTGTGTGTTTTTTAAGCTTTTTACCCCAAGTAAGGCGAGGTGCCACTAGCACCCGAGGGTTTACAGAGAGTGGGAGCAAGATTAAAGAGGCGTGGTAAAGGAAAGGATTAAGGATGGGGAATAGATCACGGCATCTGGAGATGTCGATAGACATTGCATTTAAATAGAGGGACTGAGATGCCGACCTTGTGGCACGAAATGATTATTTATCGAAAAGGCATCTCTATCTATAAAAGGCAGGATGTGTGTGTGTATAACGAATGCACGGCCGCAATTTTCGACGGATTTGCACCAAAATTTACATGCACATGCTCCAAGTTAGCAGGAAGGCCAAGACCGACTTTGCATTTCCCAACTTCCATCGATAGTGGAAATAATCGATTTTTTCATGCTTATACGGCAGTTTTCATGTAGTTTGCGGCCATTTTATACTGACCAGAGTGAGAGCCTAGAGCTGGCTGCCGCGAATAGGCAGGAAGATTCTATTGGCCATAGTGAGAGTCAACAGCTGACTAACATGAATGTTAACTAGCATGCTAGCATGAAAAAAAATCGATAGCTGCATTAGTCATAATTGGCTCCAATTGGCTCATTCGCTTGCTTAAACTCAACGTTGATTCTGATTCCACAGAACTGGGTTGTGTGTGAAAAAGTATTTGTTGTTAAAATTCTTTTTTCATTCGGTTTTTCCAGTTACGAGTCCTTTTTTAAAGCTGATCGTTTTGTGTTCATTTTGTTTAGTTCTTTTTTCATAACAGATTTAATGTTTAGTATAGAGCTTAGAAAAAATTCGCAGTGTGAGATAGGCAAGAAGTAAGGCATGTAGCAACATCAGCACGGCAAAGGGCACTCCTTTAAAGGAAATGAAGTGCAAAAATATTTTAAGTCAAGTGATAGCGATTGCTGTATGAGTCGTACGATTTTTGAATCAAGCATGGGCAACGCCGGTCCATGCTGCTAGTATTATATATACGTTATTCAGAATTTTATGGGCACGTGGCCGTTTGGTTAGACCATGAGACTCCGGTTCGAATCTCACCATCATCGATGTCATCGAACTGGATCGAGTTCGATACCATCGTGTGGCATCTTTAGAAAGTGCCTGAAAACTGTGCCATGGGTTGACCCAAGCCTTGTGAGTGAAATTGGGTAGACGGAACACTTGGGGGCCGTCGATAGCTGTGCTAGAATAAAGCCACAAGTCATCGTGGCCGAGGGCTTGAGTGTGCTGGCATTGTTCAAATTTTTGATCAGACTAGATAACACGCTCTCTTCCAGAAACTGTAATTAAGGTCTGCTCAGCATAGCTGCAGAATAAACCACAGATGGGTTCTGTGGGTGTTGAGCAAACTCAAATGTGCCTGAGCGAGCGTCTGCAATAGGGATTGATTTCCCGCCCTAGTAGACGGGTATCGTCGAATGCGTGTGGCCAGCTATTATATATTATTCAGAATTTTACTATAGATATAACTGGATAACGTAGAGATATGCAGAAAACATTGTATCAAACACAGAGACCAAATTTTATAATAAATATGATTGCCCATCTAGAGCTTTTATAATAGGAAGTTTGCTTTTATGAGGCAGTTGCTTAAAAATACGACAGGAAACAGTTAATTACTTGAAGTTCTACGACCTCTGTTCATAATATTTGAAGAGCACGCGGGTCAATAGGCGAACGCATACAACGCAAGATGAAGATTCGAGTCAAGTAGATCAAATAAAACCATAAAGTCGTTGAAAGTATCTCTTTTATATTCCGCTACACACAGGCAATATTTTGTATTTGTTTAATATTTTACAATTAGAATTTTCGCATTAGCATTTTCAAATAGAGTGGATGAATTTTATTTTGTTTTTCGCTTTTGGTTCAGTTCGGAATGCACAACGACTTGTATTCTGTCCTTAAGACGCTTGTCGTTTCATTAAAGCGAGACTAATTAAAATCTGGCTTCTTTTACTTCCATTCGACAATTGTTTTTATTTCTTGGCCATTTTAAAGTCTTTTGAGATGGAGGGAAGGCACAAAATAAATAACCAAATAATCGAGTAATAAGGTACATGCAAGACATAGTAATTTCATTATGGAAAATCTCTTTTTTTATCTATCTATCTATCTATCTATCTATCTATCTATCTATCTATCTATCTATCTATCTGTCAAACAATTCATATCTGTCTAGCAAACTCTTCGCGTATATCTATCTATCTATCTATCTATCTATCTATCTGTCAAACAATTCATATCTGTCTAGCAAACTCTTCGCGTATATCTATCTATCTATCTATCTATCTATCTATCTATAAAGCTCTTTGCATTTATCTCTATCGACCTATCTATCAAACAATTTCATATCTGTCTAGCAAACATTTCGCGCTTGTCGATCTATCTATCTATCTATCTATCTATCTATCTATCTATCTATCTATCTATCAAGCTCTTCGCATCCATCTGTCTATCTATCGATCTATCAAACTCTTCATATCTATCTATCTATCTATCTATCTATCTATCTATCTATCGCAGTCTATTCATAATCTATCTATCGCAATCTACTCAGTATCTATCTATCTATCTATCTATCTATCTATCTATCTATCTATCTATCTGTCGCAGTCTGCTCATTATCTATCTATCTATCTATCTATCTATCTATCTATCTATCTATCTATCTATCTATCTATCTATCTACGCCAGTTTTTCTCCATTTATCTATCATAAATCACCATGCCAATGTTCATCTTATCTTCTCTCACTCTCTCTCTATCTATCTATATATATATATATATATATATATATATATATATATATATATATATATATATATATATATATATATATATATATATACATACAGAGAAGATGAGCGTTAGCATGTCGAAAAATTGAAAATTTATATATATATATATATATATATATATATACACAAAGCAGCTACCATAAACATCGAATTAAATCTTTTTTCTGCCCAGCATTACTATCACAATTAAACTTTCGAATAATTTATCTTAGCCTAACATTTGTTACAATTAAATTTAAAATAATAAAAAATAATAATGTAAAACCTAATGAAATAATTTACTCTATTACCTGTAATAATTGCCACAAGGAATGTATAGGAGAAACCTTGAGGAATTTAAATAAAAGATTATATACACAAAAAAGAAATATTTTACAAAACAGCTCAATTAGTGCATTATTTGCTCACCGATCATAATTTCGATTTAAAAAATGCTACTCTCATTAAAAGAGAAAGCAATTTACAAAAGTGAAAATATATAGAAGGTGCTTTAATTACTAGATCATCCACAGTAAATTTACGTCTAGGTACTTATAACATTTCACCTTTCTTGGCAGATCTTTTACGATCACAATGTGGAATATTTAATTGTATCAACGCGATGTGGCCGTAAGCCTAGTTGGAGAAAAATCTCTCGCAATGCATATATTATACTCATTAGCATTACATCTTTATAAAAAAAAACTATTAGTAAAGCATATTTAAATGAAAATCATTACCAATCAACTTTTGTAGTAAAATCTGAAACAATGCTTATTCTAAAATCATTACCTATGCATACATACAGTCAAATTATTAACAATAGATCTATATAATAAAACCATACTTATAGTAACGTAATTTACAATGTGTAATGATATTAAAATATGTATCAAAATAATTAGAAATATGTTGGTCAGTATGATTTAAAACCAGAAAATATTTCTTTTTCATCCAAGCTTACAGGTCACCCATGTAGGTAATGACCACGCTTAACGTTGTTTAACTTCGATTTATCTCTATTTTTTCTACCCATCATCTCTATCGATTAAAATTGAAAATAATTTATCAGGACCTAACATAAAATGTGTTAAAACTAATTTTAAAATAATAAGATACACAATTAATACTAAATAATAATAATGAAAAACCTATAGAAGATATTTACTCTATTACCTGTAATAACTGACACAAGAAATGCATAGGAGAAACGTCGAGGAATTTAAATAAAAGATTATATAAAATCAAAAGACTCACCCAATGTATTAGTTACTAACCGTAATGAGTCCGATCATAATTTTGATTTAAAAATGCTACTCTGATTAAATGAGAAAACAATTGACTAAGGTGAAAAATATAGAAAGTGCTTTAATTGCTAGATCATATCCCGTAAATTTAGGTTCAGGTTCTGACATTTTCACCTTTCTTGGGAGATCTTCTATTACCACAATGCGGAATATTTAAGAGCAAAATTGATGAAAACATAAACAAAAACAAACTAAATGGAATCGACTAGAATATGTATCCCAAAGATATATTTTTTTTTAAGAAAAAGAACAAAATATACTTT